ATGCGACCGCCGAGCAAACGGAGTTTAGAGTTATGGGCCTTAATCACCACCACTATATCAGCTTTACCACAGGGAACAAGACTCACGTGGCTGTTCAGGAATGATTGGCTCAGACATAAGGATAGTAAACACTGATTAACAGTAGGATGAGCAGGTGCAGGTTATTCTGCGCGGTGAGTCACTGACATCTCCTCATTGTGTGGATGGGATTCTTGGATCTATCAATGAACAACAGATGGAAGCCAAATGGCTATCTCTTGAGCACAGCCTTGCTTTGTCATGAATTGCGCTGCTGCTGTTTAACCCTCTTGTTGTCTGCCTCGCACATCGTTGCCGGTTCCGCTGCAGTGGTCACTCCAACGTGATCTCCAGCTGCTGCTTCACCGGGAATGGGCGGCACCTGTGCACGGCGTCTTGGGATAAAACCTTGCGGCTGTGGGATATCCCAACGGGGCGGTTTCGTTCACGAGGAGGAGTGACGCTAAGCAAGGGCCACGAGGGCAACATCAGCTCCTGCGTGTTCTCTGAGGACTGTAAGACTCTCTGCCCCCTGTCTTGTTCCTCTCTCCACCACTGCAGCGGGTTCGCTGATTGTGTAGCAGTCAGGACAGATCGTTAGTGCAGTTTCCTTCTCGAGTATTTGCCGTGTCGGAGCTGTACATGGCAAAACAGCTGTGAAGAATTATGTCATAAATGTGTTCACCACATTTTAACAATGCGCCGCGTTCAGTGTTCAGCTCAGGGCACGGGCTTACAGAGGGATACTTTCAGCTGAACATTCTCTGACTGAACGTAATGGCTCTGAATGCAGGTATTTTCATTTGCAAAGACAGGCATGCTGTGGAAAATGTGAGTTCGAGATGAAGGGGAAATCTCCATCCTAGTTATCCATAGCCACGGACAATTGCAAAGTCCCATCTTGAATTTCGATTTACCTCTATGCTTAGCCTGTCCCCCACAGTGACCCTGCACTGTAGAGTTGTTATCACAAAGGGTCAATAGAGACCCATAGTTTTTTATTTCTTTTCTTGTGTTATGTATACTTGTGTTCATGTTTGTTCTCGTGGACCTTGGATTTATCTTGATTGATGTCTCTTTTGGGACTTGGCTGTCTGTGCACACTATTGACAAGGTACTGTATGCTTTCCTGACACTCATTTTGCCTACATGGAGGGTTTCTTGTCAGGATCTAATGAGATTGCATGGCTTTTTTAGTAAAGGCTCTTGTAGGTAGAAGATAAAGTGTGTAAAAACAACTTCTGACCTTATTAAACTCTGGGATGATTTAAAGAAGAGAAGACGAGAACCTGAAATTTTCTCCTGTTGCAGAAAGGTTTATAGTGTTGCAGAGATTGCCATAGAAATTTTCCCTAGGAGGTATTTTCAATTGAACATGCTGTAGTATATTCTCATTGCACAAAGGTATGCTAAGCAATTTAGGCAATTTTTTTAAAAACAAGAATAATCATCACTTAAGAAAGTTTAACTTTGTCACTTGTTTTGAATTATGATCTTGCACTTTTGTGCCTGTGCTGCATATGCAGCCTTTCTGCATTGTTAGCTGCAAAGGTGAAAGACATGATAGAAAAACTGCTTTTTCATTGGCTTACAGCCTCTCTCCTGGTGTCTGGTGCCTGTGACAGAAATGTCACCGTCTGGGATATGGAAGGACCTTGTAAAAAACTGGTTCTGAAGGTAACAACCTGCAAGACCCCTTATAGAAACTGACTCGAAGCTGACTGTGTATCCCCTGTGCGTTCCGCCGCAGTGCTGTTGCTCATGTCATTGGGCATCTTGCACGACAATGCCGATTAAGTGTGATTGCAATCCCCAGGGACACACAGACTGGGTAACGGATGTCAGCATCAGTGCTGACAAGAAGTGGATTGCTTCAAGTTCTAAGGTACGTATTTCTGGACTTTTTAAA